GCGCCCGTCTACTGGCGCTCATCATAATATTGCGTCACTGCGCAGTGCGGTGCGCACGCTCTGCTATAATGTTTACAATTTATTTAAAGTACAATAAACCATATTACATACTTCTTATGTTTTATTTCCTTTCTCACACAACCTCATACAATTATACATATATTGTTTGCGCATCCATTTTTAAAACATGAAAAATATTAATTTTATCTTTCTGACATACTAATGATGAGAAATGGACAACAATTGTGTATTTATATGTATTACTAGCGGTCAGCCGCGACTTCGTCCGCACGGAAATAAAACAACATAATTAGTAGCCTATGTGTTTCCACACTATGTTCTATATGTATAACAAATTTCATAGAGATTCGTTTTGGAGATACATTCACATTCATTCATACAAACATCCATCCATACAACTAAACATTCGCATATTTACAATATTAGTAAGATTATTTGTCACTTATGTGAGAGATTACTCCAACTTGGACGTCTCGCTGACGTCCAGCGCAAGGTTGAATTTATCTTGTGATATATGTATCCATGTGTGTATGTGTGTGTGTGTGTGTATGTACTACGAGACCATTAAAAATAACAACATGACAATAAATGTAAATCACATGAGAGTGTGTTGTTTACATCAATCATCTATTCTTACATTTTAAATATATAACTACTTAATTATCTTTACAATAGTACAAAAGATGTATAATTTTGTATTTACAGTATACAAAAAATGGCTACTGCTAAATATGAATTAGGTAAATAATTCTTGATAGTTCCTTAATAGTCCATCAAATGTGTATTGTATTACATAGTTCTAATATATGTGGAAAAAAATAGAGGTGTGACAGGACCGTGCCAAATAGAAGTACGTTGTCTCTGTCTACTTCCTTGAGTCGCGAGCGTGAGTTATGTTGTAGTCATTGTAGCAGTATTTAAACTTGTTCTGCCAAACCTATGTTTAAGGTTCTTCTTCTTTTACATATGTTATAAAATGAAAAAAACATTTTCATCACTCCATGGTGATTATGATAGTCGCGAGTTAGCAAACAGGAGTGCGTGACGGAACGGAACCGTTGTTGCGGATAAGCCGACAACACGCCACTTCAATAAACGTCTAATGTTAATTTATAGGGGTCGGTGTCTTTCCCTTCCGGCGAGTTTACATCCCACGTGACCCCCGGCACCCGGCACCCGGCACCCGTCACACGGCACACGGCACCCGGCACCCCGCACCCGGCACACGGCACCCGGCACCCCGCACCCGGCACACGGTACACGGCACCCGGCACCCGGCACTCGGCACCCGTTAAACTCCGGGACCTGTCTCAACTTTATCCATTAAAGTAATAACGTAACTGATAAATATTGCAAAGAAAACTTTGGTGAAATTGTGTTAGGAGAATATTTGATAAAAGTTTCAGTAAACGAAGTCAATCTTAGACTGAAATACTAAATAAAACACGTCCTTTGATAAAGGTAAGTAATTTATCCTTTACGATGTGTGACCTGCGAGATGTCAGATAAGAGAAATAAAATTGTTTAGTACAACAAGGTGGGACTAACATACAATTCTGGAACGAAGTTTGCTCGGGTCCCCTGATGATATCCAATACACAAACTTTATTGGAAGTTTGATAATGTTCTTAAAAGCAACACGAAACCTGACTCCACAAAATATTATTTCTGGGAGGTAATGTTTCATTACATAATTATTATTGATATAATACACAAATAATAAAATAATCATGTTTCACTCTGAGAGAGGCGAATCACAATAAAGCGTTTGCACAGAATTGCTATTTTTTTCAGGCGTTATTTATAATAGTTATACTATTGATATCGTTATTTTGTTTATTAGTAAATTTAATAAATGTAAATTGGCCGATGTTTTACACTGCCTTTAAAAGGGCTTAATAAAACGTAATTCCCCGATGTGGCTTACGTATTCATGGTTTGCGCGGGCTCGAAACAACCCGAGGGCGTCGTAAAAAAAATAAGCAAAATTGTAAATGAAGATAATCGGATCAAAATTAACTTAGATAAGTTAAAGGAAAAGAATATGAGAGCTAAAAGCTAGTAAAAAGTAGTGTTCACCCAATTGACTTTACAGTCAGGAAGGTCCTCATGGTAACCACTGAATGGTTGCTCTGCTGTGCTCCAAATGTACTCAATTAAGATAATATCAAACCAATCCACCTTGACCCTGGCACAGCGATATGTCACATATTATTTTAAGTGCGGTTTGAAGTCGGCTGTCAGCTCGAGGTCGGCCGTGTCTCGTGTGCCGGGTGGCGACGCCGCCGCGCCGCGCCGCGCCGGACAGGACCTTACGCCGTCACGTCCGGATCCGGACACCACAATTAATGTGAGCAATTGTTGTCACTCCGCTCTTGTATAACATTAAGAATGTATCCGTTTACCTTGACTGTAATTTACTGACAAATTAGTTAAATATTTTTACAAAGACACTTACTGTTACAAGATAATATGTACAAAATAAATCGATGCCATTGATAAAATATACAAAATTCAAATTAAAAATAAAAATTCATGAATACCTCTCTAAGATGGACTATGAATCTACAGAAGAGCTAATGATTGTTCCATAATTTATAATTTATTTTTACTTTCAAGTTAACACATATAATTTAAGTCTAATCAATTTAAAATAAATATATATTGTATTAATGTGTACTTTTTGCATATACTGTACATCTTTCAATAGTTACCCACATTAAACTGGCCGCACTGCCCTGCCGTAATACAGTTTTATACTAGTACGGAGGGCAGCTGTACAATACTAAAAACAAACTTGTCTACAACTTTGTAAAAAAATAAATAAATAAAAAATATAGTAATTAAAAAAGAGAACAATTTAGATGTATACGTAATAGTGGTAAAATAACTTGTAATTTTAAATTCTTTTTTTTTTTCTATATACATGTTATAGCTTTATAATGTAAAGAAGCGTAATTTTGCATATCAGACTACTTAGTTATAAATAAATATTAGCATGTAGAAATTTATTGCTTTGTATTTTATACATGTTTATGTATTAGCTCTGTTTAATACTTACATAACTTAGGAATATGTAACAACAAAGTTGTGTTTGAACTTATATGTTTGTATTTGTTTGTAAATCTTGTAGTGAGAATAAATAAATATTATTATTATTATTATTATAATATTCACAGTCAAGGGCACGGTGTCATAATTAGTTACAACAAAGAGTCTGACGACTGCTGGGCAATTCATTACGCGTACTTATTATCAAAAGTAATTAAGAAAAAAATAATTGTATTTCACGCGTATTGAGAACAAAAAGTGGAAGTGGATTGTTGTTGTTGTTGAGTGAAAGTTCAATTTGTGCGGGCGCGGCCTTGCGGGCGGCGCGGGGCGAGGCGGGGTGAGGCGGGCGAGGGCTGGCCAACAGGGCTTCTCATCTCACGACCCTTGATCTTGTTAAGTTTCCATGTCCTTCAAGTACACATGTCCTCGGGAACGCTGTAAAGCAACGAAAAAGTAATCGGCGAAGTGGTGGACCGCCAGACTGACAGTGACCAAGCAAGTAGGAAATGGTGGTCAAGAAAGGTGGCGACTACATGAGGACAAGAAAAGTCTAAGCTTTTCCGTCCGAGTCCGAGAGACGAAACTACAAATATTATCGTAAATTATAGTTAAACTTTATCAAAATTAAACGAACAGGACAAGATATCTAAGAAACCCTGGCCGATTTAAGTTGTGATTAGGTGCGCGGCACAATTTGCGTAGTTCTTACGTACACGAAGACATTACATATAAACATAAGTAGGAACAGACAATGCGGAGACACGTGTCTGCAACAGTATTGTGTGAAGGGAGTTGTGAGGTAACAAGCTGTACCAAACGTCGTTATGTCTTCATTATTTTATTTCATTATTCCCCGTTCATGTTAAATCTAATCGATGTGTGTGTGCTTGGTAATTTTTATGTTGAATTAGCCAGCTATTGAACACGCGCGCAGTCGCGATGTCTTAAATTACAAGCATGTTACTTCTATGTTTCTCAATGTACGCAAATTTATTAAAAATATATTATTATATTCACCAGGATGTAAAAAGTACGTGCGTGTACACACACTGATATATTCAGGGTCGTTGTCATAATAACGTCTATGGTCGTTTTTCCAAAAACCCAATTCCAAAAACGTCAGAAACTCGTTGACACGCTGACGAATGCGGAAGATATAACTTGCCCATTTCCTGCTCACTCAAAACTATACAGCCTTCGAAATTTTGATTGCTAATTAATTAAATATGCCGAGATACACCATCGCCTTTGAAAAACCGTTCCAATACCTTACATACATACATAATATTATAAAAAATATTAGGCAACCGACCTTCGGCTTCCTACGCATTGCCTTCATAAATATAGGTGTCATCTTATGACACACACACACACACACACATATTACCTAATTATAGT